AAAGGGACATTCCCAAAAAGGGACATTCCAGAGGGACATTCCAGAGGGACATTCCCAAAAAGGGACATTCCAGAGGGACATTCCAAAGGGACATTCCCAAAAAGGGACATTCCAGAGGGACATTCCCAAAAAGGGACATGCCAAAGGGACGTTCCAAAGGGACGTTCCCAAAAGTTCCAGGTGGGAGTCCCAGGTGGGAATTCCGGGTGGGAGTTCCGGGTGGGAGTTCCGGGTGGGAATTCCAGGTGGGAGTTCCAGGTGGGAGTTCCAGGTGGGAACCCAGGTGGGAATTCCAGGTGGGGGTTCCAGGTGGGAATTCCAGGTGGGAACCCAGGTGGGAACCCAGGTGGGAGTTCCAGGTGGGAATTCCAGGTGGGAATCCATGTGGGAATCCAGGTGGGAATCCCAGGTGGGAGTTCCAGGTGGGAATTCCAGGTGGGAATCCATGTGGGAATTCCAGGTGGGAGTTCCATGTGGGAATCCAGGTGGGAATTCCGGGTGGGAATTCCAGGTGGGAATCCCAGGTAGGAACCCAGCTGGGAATTCCAGGTTGGAGTTCCCAGGTGGGAATCCATGTGGGAATCCCAGGTGGGAATTCCAGGTGGGAGTTCCAGGTAGGAATCCAGGTAGGAATCCAGGTGGGAGTTCCAGGTTGGAATCCCAGGTGGGAACCCAGGTTGGAATTCCAGGTGGGAATCCAGGTGGGAGTTCCAGGTTGGAATCCCAGGTGGGAACCCCGGGTGGGAGTTCCAGGTGGGAATCCAGGTAGGAATCCAGGTGGGAACCCAGGTTGGAATCCCAGGTGGGAACCCAGGTGGGAACCCAGGTGGGAATTCCAGGTGGGAACCCAGGTTGGAATCCCAGGTGGGAACCCAGGTGGGAACCCAGGTGGGAATTCCAGGTGGGAACCCAGGTGGGAGCCCAGGTGGCAGTTCCGGAATGCCGGCCGGGTTGGGGCCGCCCCGGGGCTCTCCCGGCTCCCCGGGCAGCGGGCAGGTGGGGGCGGGGCGGGGCCGCCAGGTGACCCTCACCTGTCCCAGGGTGGTGCGGCCCCGCCTGACCATCTACGTGTGCCAGGAGTCCCGGCAGGGCACGGAGCCCCCGCGCGGCGACGGCGACGGCGGCACCTTCTTCGGTGAGGGCAGGGGCACCTGGGCACACCTGGGCGCACCTGGGGGCACCTGGGGCAGGGGCACCTGGGCACACCTGGGGGCACCTGGGGGCACCTGGGGGCACCTGGGGCAGGGGGCACCTGGGCACACCTGGGGGCACCTGGGCACTCCTGGGCACACCTGGGCATACCTGGGCACACATGGGGCACACCTGGGCACAACTGGGCACACCTGGGGGCACCTGGGCACAACTGGGCACACCTGGGGCAGGGGGCACCTGGGCACAACTGGGCACACCTGGGCACTCCTGGGGCATACCTGGGCACAACTGGGCACACCTGGGGCAGGGGGCACCTGGGCACAACTGGGCACACCTGGGCACACCTGGGCATACCTGGGCACACATGGGGCACACCTGGGCACTCCTGGGCACTCCTGGGGCACACCTGGGCACACCTGCGCATACCTGGGCACACATGGAGCACACCTGGGGCACACCTGGGCACTCCTGGGACACACCTGGGGCACACCTGGGCACACCAGGGGGATTTGAGTCACACCTGGGGGGGCAGGGGTCACACCTGGGGGATCGGGATCACACCTGGGGGATTGGGGTCACACCTGGGAGCAGGGGTCACACCTGGGGGATTGGGGTCACACCTGGGGATTGGGATCACACCTGGGAGCAGGGGTCACACCTGGGGGATTGG